CCGGTGTTCCGGAGCCGCCGTTTAAGACACCTCCGTTCACATCACGCCAAGACCAGCCGCCCGCCCGCCTGCCGGAACCCCAGCCGGATCGCTCCTCCGAGCTTTACGGGATCACTCACCGACCAGTACAATCCCGAGAGACAGACAGGCGGCCGGCCCGTCGTGAGCGACAGATTTGGTAACCCTAGTGCTATTCATCCATCGACACGGCAGAAACATCTCGGATTGGGGGACCGTTTCTTAGTTGGGGCCCCGCAGGCAGTACACCCCTCCGCTTCCACACGGAGAGAAAAATCAAGCGTTTGTAGTAAGACATGGTCTATACTTAAAAAGAGTATAGGTCTCTACTAAAAGAGTATAGGTCCCTACTCTTTTAGCATAGATTTCTACAAATCGAGTATAAACAGCGCCGTGCTTTTTAAATATAGACCATGTCTTACTACAAACGCTTGATTTTTCTCTCCGTGCAGTGGTGATCATTTCTGATCGCCCAAAGGTTGCTTCCTCACCATTCTTACCCTCTACTCCATGGAGCTGGTCTATTGGGCGGTCCCTCCCTTATGAGGAGCAGGCCGCCGCAAACCACCAACGAGGGAAAGAACGGGGTCCAGAGGTACTCCCCGATTAGGCCTTTAAGCCACCCCACCAGCTGCAAGGTCCTAAGATCCCTAGGGGCAGAAAACTCGGTATACATTTCAGGAAATTTTAATTCATTTCGTATTTTTGGAAATATTTGGATTTTTCTCAAAAAAACTTGATTTTTTGAAATTCAGACAAACGTAGGATCTAAACTTCTAAACGGTTTTGTAAAATATTCCACAATTTTATTAATTGGGTCAAAAACTCGATATATATTTCAGAAAATATTTGAATTTTTCTTTAAAAAAATTGGATTTTTTTAAATTTAGACAAACGTAGAGCACAAACTAATAAATGGATTTGTAGTTTACTCTGGAATTATATTGATTGGGTTGACATTTTGAAATTTATTTTACAAAACTTTAATACACTTCATGTTTTTCAAATTTATAATTATTGTTGGCCTATTAAAAATCTATATTGCATCTACATTGGGTGGCTTATGTCATTTCGAAGTAAGAATTTTGAAGTACATTCTATATAGATTTCATAACTTCAGGCCTACGTAGAAAGGCCTATTAAAAATCTATATTGCTTCTACATTGGGTGGTCTATGTCAATTTGATATAGGATTATATTGTAGATTTTACGTAGATTTTAAATGAGAATGCTGACATAGACAGGCGTACTTAAAAAATATGTCGCCACTATCTCAACTAGCCTTGATTAATTTGATGTACGAATGTCTACATACATTCTACATAAATGCTACAACTAAGTGGCCTTCATAGAAAGACTTACGTAGAATTTACCTGCAATGTATATTACATGACCCATATAGGAGGACGACTTTTAACCTACTCAAATACTATATAGGTTACATATAGGCCGCGTCAAATTTTTACTTGGGTTGATACATTGACTCAATTTTTACCTTCTTGTAGTCTCTATTTTCTTCAAAATTAGAAACTTGTAAATCCGAGTTTTATGATGACGTTATTTTAATTGTTATTAGGAAAAAAATGCGGTTTTGACAATTTATATTTGCTAACCTCATTTTATTAAGCACGTAGGCTATACATTTCAATTCCCTTTTTGTTTCTTTCCTTGTTTTTTAAAATTTATTTCAAACACAATTCGAGACAATTTAACATATCAGAGTTCCTACAAATTTCTCCTTATAAGATTCCATAATTTTTTATGATTTCCAGGTGATAAATAATCAAATTTCCATGACACATTAAATTAAAATTTTTGTCAGCAGGCAAATGTCATGAATTTGACTTTTTCTACTTTTCCTCCAATCATTGCAACAACATACCACAATTTTTAGTTAAAAAGTGCAACTTATTTTGATTTTTATAATGTAAAAAATAACTATAAACAAATCTTTCAAAAATTGTTTTTGAATAGTTAGAATTCTGTAAAATTTAATTGCAAATAATTAATTTATTTCAAGTAGGGTCATTTGGGGTAAATGTAAACAAGGGGTAAATGTAAACAGTAGATGTTTCAGCTAAATTTACAAATTTAAAAATAAGTACGACGTCAATATTTTTACCTCAGCTCATCTACAAGATGTTCTGAGTATTGCCAATATTTTATTTTGACAATTGGCAATGCCATAGTGTAAGTTATTTTTTAATGCAAAAAAGATTAAAAATCAAAATTTTACTGTTTCAGTATTTTGTCTCGCATTTGCATAAAAATAAATTTAAAAATCAAACAAAAATATGTAATTCTTCCTTATTAATGCCCTAACAAAAATTGACTTTGATTTTTTATTTTTGTCAATTTACTTAATAAATAATTAAGTGTTTACATTTACCCCGAGAATTCGAAAACTCGGGGTAAATGTAAACAGAACTTGTAGTACATTTTAAAAGAAAATAATTGAATAAATTTGCTTCTATTTCACAATTTCATTAATTTGGCAATGTAAAATTACATAGAAAAAGAAATTAGGTCCTCTTTGAAAAAAAAAAATTTGATAAAAAAAAATTTTTTTTTTGAAAATTTGATCAATTTTTAAAAATATTTTTAGGTTCATCCGCCATTTTGAAAATTTAAAATTGGACTTTAAATTCGTATTCAGCGACCTCAAAAACCCCCTAGTAACCAGATTCAAACAAATTTGATCAATTTTTAAAAATATTATTTTTAGGTTCATCCGCCATATTGGATCCACCATTTTGAAATTTAAAAATTCGATTTTAGATTTTTATTCAGCAACCTTAAAAACTTTTTTTTACCAAGTTGAATGAAAATCTATTAAAATTTGTTCAAGTTATTCAAGTTTTTACATTACTAATTTTGTAATGGTTGATTGTTTATTTATATGATACATTATCAGTCAACTGGTTGATTTACTATACATCCACGAAGAATTTTTTCTCAGTTTTTCCATCCCTTAAAACAGTAGTATACTTGAAATAACTTGTTTCTTAAACCTCGCTTAACTACAGTGGTGTTTACATTTACCCCGAATTTTAGGAAAAATTCAAAATCTCGGGGTAAATGTAAACAGTCAGTTTTAGGCAATTCAGGTGCATCAATATTTCTTTGTACCTCATAAAATTTTTCTAGGGAACACTAGCAACAAGTTCATGCAAAAGAAATCCGTCCGTTTTACCTTTTAACAAAAAAAACTAATGTTTTTGGTGAAACATAGATATTCCGTTTACATTTACCCCAATTGACCCTATTTTGATACAATTTTTGAAAATAAACTTTTAAAGAATTTTAATTGCAAATTTTGAAAAGAATTAAGTTATCAAAAATTTTAATAAAATATTTTTAAAGGTAAATTTAAAAATGAAAATAAGCTACTAATTTTTTAATATTTTTAATATTTTCAATTACATATTTCCAAAAAAAATAACATTTTAGAATTATTTCTAACATTTTGGAGAAAACAATATTTTTAAAGTTTTTAATTAAAACTCATCAAAAAATTCATTAGTTTTTTTAAATTATACAAAAAATTGTTTTAAGAAATACAATTATTTTCGAAAAATTACATAAATAAAATATTTTTAAAAACTAATTATTACAATTGATTTGTAATAATTTTTTAAGATTCAAAATTTACTTTTTGGACTTATTAAAATTTTTAAAGAATCACGATCCTGTTTATAATTAAAATTCTTCAAAAATTTGATTATTTTTATTTTTACTTTTCAAAAATTCAATTATTTTAAAAATATTTTACCAAATTTTAATTGTTTGGAAATTTTTTAAAATTGAAAAACTATTATCGTTCAAAAATTATTTATAAATATTTTTAAAAAATTAAAATTGTAAGAATTTCTTTATTATAATTTTTTGAAAATATTACCTTCATAACTTAAGAGAAAACTATGGAGAGTCACAATTATTTAAAAAAATTGATTTTATGTATTTGAATAATTGAATTCTAGATGAACTTTTGGAAAATTATTTAAATTAATTGATTCAGAGATGAATTTTAGTTGAAAATTGTAGAAAATAATTGAATTCAGGACGAGTTATAATAGTAATTTTCAGAAATTATTAAAATTTATAAATTTTACTCATTTTCCGTAAACGTTAATATTTTCGTACTGTAAAAAGAATTTTGTTAGGGAAAGTAATTTTAATAACAGTAAATTAAGATGAAAAGTTTCCCGAACTATTAGACTTTTAGTCTAGGTTCAAATATCAAGTTAACAGTTTGTTATTAACTATTAAAACTATGTTATATCTTCGGACGTAACACAAACAGCGAACATCTTTAGCAAATGCAATAAATGGATATTTTTATTTATAAAACAAAAAATATAATTACTTAATGAGTTATTATACTTTTTAAAGAAAGAAAATAGAAAATGTATTTAACTTTTGATTTCTTATATTTAAATAAAGTAATCACAATTTCTTAGATGATTTTCAGGAATAAAATACAAAAAACGATTTCAATTGTCGAATAATCGATTATATTCAGTAAAACATTTACAAGGTAATAAGATTTGTTCATCGAGTGAACGTATGTAGGTGTATTACATTTACAGGCAAGGCATCTTTCAAAACCATACCAATTCTACAATAATTGCGATAATATAATCATTACTTAATTATACGAAAGTATGTACCATCAAATTATTTTTTTTATATGTATTTATATAATATTATTATTAATATTATCGTTATCCCTACTGTTTAATATTTACTATATTTTCTCAGGAACAAATACATATCTCTTTTTTTTAATTAATATACATCAATTCGCGATTATAAGATTTCATAAAAATTTTGTACAGAATAATTTTTATCAAAATCTAATTTTTAATTTCAAGTATTATAATGAAAAAGAGGAAAACAAATTTTTTGAATAAACTTATTCTGTACAAAAAAAAGGACAATCTTCAAAAATTTCTTCTACAAAAACACATTTCTTTCCTTTCGCTTCGACTTTTTTTTTGTCTTCGATTTTGTTTTTGCTATTCGGATGAATAATTTAAATTTTATCACAGAGGTAACATTATCGGTACCATTTTGTTTTCGTTTTTTTTTCTTATTTTATTGCCCGAGAAGTATTTATTTTTTTTTCACTTCTAATTTCGATTTATTTTCCATTGAGACTGAAAAATCGACAATGATATAAACAAGAAAATACTAACAAAATTTGTGTTATTTGAAGAAGAAAAGACACGAAATTTACGAGAAAATAAAGTGCTTGCGATCGAGAAGTTTAAAGACAACTTTTTTTGTGAGGTACAATTTTTATTTTTTGCATCAAATTCAGAATAATGAACTTTTGCTGAAATTCGTTGAGATTTCACTTCCTTTTTTTCTTCGTTATTAATTTAAATTTCTATTTGTTTTCATCTATATATATTTATTTACTAAAAATGATGCAAAACGAAAGGCAAATGGTTCATTTTTCTGTAATTTGACTGACTTTCCGGAATGTGTGTTCACGTTCAGAAAAATGAATTCTTTTCGTCCAAAATGTTTTTAGTGTATTTTTCTGAGCGCACAGCAGCAAAACTTAATCAGAACCGGGCAATTAAATCTCCTTTTCTCTTTTAAAAAATTTTTTTATCAAGAAATTTTTTTATTTCATTTTCTTTATTTATTTCAAATTTTAAAAGAAAGATAAAATTATATTTGTTGCAAATATTGAAAAACTATTTACTATTGTAAATAAATAAATTAGTTAAATAAAACAAAATTAGTATTGAAAAAAGAGTCAAAAGTGGTATTGCTACAAATTAGCATTAACAAATTTTTAAAAAATTTAATTTAAAATTAAATTGAATGAAAATATTTTTTTTTTTAAATTAATTGAAATTTTAAAAACAGTAAATAGCTGCAAATTTTATTTTTAAACAGTGTGAAAAAATAGTGGGGAGCAATAAAATATTTCAAATACCTAACAAAAACCGAATTAAAATTTAGGAATAACCCAAAATAATAAAAATTAAAATTGAAAATTTACATATAAATTTTCAGTTTACATAAACGTTGTCAAATATTTCTTTCATTAAAAAATTTAGACGATCTCTTGATTAATTTGTTTTTAAAATTAGTAAAAAATTGCCATTAAAAATAAATTTAAGGAAAAATTTAAATAGAAAAATTTCTTGAAATATTCTTAAAATTTTCTTTTATCTCGACTGCCCAACTCTGATTCTGGACTTCATATATAATATATTTATTTATTTATTTATTCTTGTCGCAATTCAATAGCCTTAATACATTATATTTATATTCAATATATTCCTATTTATATTAAATCGACGTATAAACTATTTACAAAAACAACAGACCGAGTACCAACGAATTTCTTGCGAGAAATATTCGTTAATAATATATTTTTTTAATTTTTTTTTACATCCGTTTAATGTTCTATTTTTGACATTGAATTTATTTTCCCAAGTCCAGAAAAAATTTGTATACATTTAACCCTCATTTTGGTAACATTTTACCCCATTCTTTTTGTGTATAATTAACCCCACACAAACACTCTGTGAAAACGGTTATAAATATAACAACAATTTATTTTCCATTTATTTTTAAAGGCCCTGAAAAAATGAATTCAATATCAAAATATTTCTTTTTTTACTCGAATTTCCTTGCCTGAATGTCCGAAAAGAGACAAGAACGCAAACAAATTAATCTACAAAATGAAAAACGCAATTTAAATTGTAACTCTGAAAATCAACAATAATGACATATTTAACAAAAATTGTTCGTAATCCTATTATATGCAAATTAGCCTATATTAATTGTTTTTTACTTTTTTTAAATATCTTTTTTTTTTGTTGCTTCCAAAGAATTTAATGAAATCTTTTTTTTTCATCGTATAGTTTATGCCGTAGAGTTTTTTTTCTTTAACGGTAGAGGATCAGTAAAAGTAAACTCGAAGCATTAAAATCGAGAATATTACTTTGAGTCTATGACTATCTTATTTTTTAGGATTTAATTATTTATTTATTTTTTTTTTTTTACTTATTTGTGTCGTTTCTTGTAAAGTTCATAAAATTGTTAATTATTCTGTTCTTTGGTAGCGCGGTGAAGCACACACTCAACACACACACAAACGAAAGACCCGCACAATAATTCTTATACAAATAGAAAAAAAAATAAAAGTTTTTTTAAAAAAGTAAAAAAAAATTCTACTTTGAAATTAAAAGATGGTCCCAAAAATGGAAGAGTTTTTCTCTTTTTAAAAAAACGAGCCAATCGTGTAAAAAATTATCTAAATGAAAAAGAAAGTATTTTTTACGTGCGCTTAAAAACTTAAAAAAAGCTTTACGAATTTTTTTTCTCAATTCATCAAATAAAAATCCTTTTTTAATTATTCTAGAGCTTTTTTGTTTTCTTACTATTTACAGTATAACGAATATAATATTGTGTGGCACGTGCCCGTAGTATCGAAGAAACGAAAGAAATTAATTTTCATCGTTATTCGTTTTATAAAAACTGAATAGGCGTTTTGCAATTAGCACAAAATATCCGATATTTAAAAAAAATATCCTAAACAATTTGCATATTGCAATATTTTAGGATATTTTGTACTTTTTGTCAATTTAAACAGCAAAAAAAATATATATCTATATATATCTATATATATTTGTATTTATATTCAATAGTTTCGAGCTTAATTAATTAAGTAAATATCGTCTTTCCATTTACTATATTTACACCCTGTCATATTTTTTTTTTATTTGAAACTTGACAATTAATAAAGATTTTTCAAGTTCAAATTTTAGTGTCAAGAGTCGCTCACGATGGAGGGGGAGAAGGGGGCGGAACATGAAGCTCGTTTAAGGCGCTCGCACAGCTCTACTGCCTGCCTGCCTGCCTGCAGGTCGTCATGGTAACACATAAGAGTAAGAGAGTCAGAAAATTCAAATTAAATGTTTTTTCTCCCTTACTCTCATTGCGCCTGCCTGTGCAGGCAGGCAGGCAGTAGAGGTGAGAGAGCGCCTTTAGGATATTATTTCCAAGAAGAAATAGAAAATAAACGGAAACACTGATAATTATTTAGCGTGACAATGTTATCAAGCGTCGATAATATATAAGTTTTTTGACAGAAATCTGCATTGCCGACAGTCGGCCGAGAATGAATCTTGGATTCATTATTTTTATACTCGGTAACATACCATAGAACATGGTTCATTTTTAATGGCGCTGCGAGCACTCGACTCCAAAAAAAAAAAATAATAATAATAACAAAACTCCTCGATATTCGAAATCAAAGAGGTGAAGAAAAAAATAAAATTTAAAAAGAAAGTAAAAATTCTTTTAAGGTTGTTGCAACAATAGTTGTTCAAGTTCATCAGCTGATCGTAGAAGGAAGGCTGCTGACTCTCGATAGCCGGTTATCAATTGTCGCACTGCTGTCATTTCCGTTGCATTTAATTTGTGGCTTAACAATGGTTTCGTGTTCTTCATACTCAAATCTGTTGGTCCTAAAATAAAAAAATTTTACATTAATTTCCAATTGAATTAGAAAGAATATATTTTTATTGAACAATGTCAGTTTTATGTGAATTTCCCGCCAAATTATTTACTGAATTTTTTTTATTTTCAAACTAAAGTTTACATTCTAAATTTAGCAAATTTCCAAATTTTAGAGTAAAATTCAGAAATTCAAAATAGAAAGAAAAGTTTTTTAAGAATTTGGTTTTTATATATTAACATTAAAACCTATCTATTATTTTATTTTTTAAATAATGCATTTTTTCAAAAAACTGTTTTTGGGCAGTTTTTTGAAAAAAAAAATTATAAATATAAGTAAAACATTATTTTAATAAACAATATTAAATTGCGCTAAATCGGTATTACTTAAGATTAAAACACACACAACAAAGGAAATATTAAAATTACAAACAATTCAAGGACTGAAAAGCAACAGTTTAAAAGTTTGAAATAATTTCTCTATTTTTTAATTCTTATGTACGCAAAAGATTTTCCAATATTTGAAATAAATAAAGATCAAAAAAGGAGGGTTGCCAAAAAAATTTAATTTTGTTTTTTCCTGACTTTTCCCTGATTTCCAGACAAAATTTTGACTATTTCCCTAACTTGAAACAATTTTTAAAAAATTTCGATTAAATTTTTTGAAAAAAATTAGTTCCATAGAATTTTTGATTAAAAGTATGAAAAATTCAGATTTTCAAAGATTTTAATTTGAAATCTTTACGTAATTCAATTATTTGTAAAAATTGCAATTATTAGTAGTTTCTCCAAAATTCAATTATTATCTAAAACTTTAACTGAAATTAATTTTTAAATAAATTTTTATTAGAAAATTCTACGAGAATTCAATTATTTAAATACAAACACGGATAATTAAATGAATAATTGAATGTTTCTCAAAATTGAATTCTTATACATAATTTTGTAAACAAATTTTTGAAAAATTGAATTGTGATGGATATTGTTATTTATAAAAATACTATGACTTCCTCCGAATGATTTTATTATTTATGAAAATAATTAAATCACTGAAAAACATTTTAAAATTTATGTAAATAATTGAATTAATGCGAATTTAATTAAATTTAATAAAAAATTAAAGAATTTAATGCCAAATTTTAAAATACTTGATTTTTTCGAAAAAATCTGTGCAAATTCTATTTGAAATAATTGAATTCCTATGAAATTTTTTTTGAAAATAATTGAATCTTTTTGTAGAATGTTATCAAAATTTTTGTTTAATAATTCAATTCTTTTGAAAAATATTATTACAATAGTAAAATATTAAAAATCATTGAAGTAAAAAAATTTTTTTAAATAATTGAAATTTTGTCATGAATTTTATTAAAATTTTTAAAAATAATTGAATTTTATTACTTTTTAAAATAATTGAATTCTTATGGTGAAGACTATTATTTATGAAAATAATTGAATTTTGCAATGAAATTTATTAAAATTCCTAAATTAAAATAATTGAATTTTACAATGAAATTTATTAAAATTACTGAAAATAATTGAATTTTGCAATGAAATTTATTAAAATTCCTGAAAATAATTGAATTTTGCAATGAAATTTATTAAAATTAATGAAAATAATTGAATTTTGCAATGAAATTTATTAAAATTCCTGATTATAATTGAATTTCGGCGAAAATTTGTTTCTATTTAGGATAAAGATAATTGAAATGTTAACGAGAATTTTTAAAAAATTTTTTGAAAATAATTGAATTTCTGAAAAGAATTTTAATACCTATTTATTATGGTAGTTGAATTCTTTCAAAGAATTGCGTTGAAGTTTTTAAAATTAAAACTAATTTCAACAGAAGTGAATTTTAAATTTATTTTAAAAATACTTCATTAAATGATTTATAAGTAATAACTTTATGTCAGTTCTTCAATAAAATTAAGTTATTTAAAATAAATTATTGTCAGAAATAGGAAAAAATTAATGTTCTTTTAGAAATCTTTTTGGTAATTTCATAGTTTATGAGGCAAACGAAAATATACAAAAATTCAGAATTTTCTTATAAATTCTAAACATTTAATTTTTTTAGTACTTTCAATAAAAATCCCTGACTTTTTCCTGATTTCCCTAACCTGTGGCAACCCTGAAGAGTGAAAACCAATTGTAGGACATGCGCAAAATTTTTTAATAGACTCTAGACATGCGCAGTAGCGCTTATTGCACTCTAGGCATGCGCAGTAATGCTGATTGCACTCTAGACGTGCGCAGTAATGCTGATTGCACTCTAGACATGCGCATTATTGCTTCTTTCATTCTAGACATGCGCAGTAGTACTGATTGCACTCTAGGCATGCGCAGTAATGCTCTAAGTACTAAATAACATCAATTTCAAATTAAAATGCAATTCTATAGTGAATTCATAATAATTATTAAATAGAGAAATAATTTATTTAAATTTCTCGCCCGTCAGTTTGAAAATAGCAGTGGCGGTAAATTTAAATACCTTTCAAAGCAAATTTTTGTAACTTAAAAAAAAAAAAGAAAATATTTTTCTATTATTATTTTTTTCTACAGGAAATGGAGAAGAAATTGGATGGGAACTAATGTAAACACCGATAATGATTATTACTTTGTGTACCGTTGCTCAGCAGGCCCGATGTAAAGCTCTGTGTCGGATAAAGTCCAGCCGACAATGTTGGTGGCACTGTTGTTGGTCCAGCACGCTGGAAAGCTTGACTAAAGTTTGGTCTGTACATTGCAGTTGGCGCTGCTGCGCTTGCAACTCCATTTACTGCAGACGAACTGACTATCGTTGTTTGACTACAAAAGCAAAAGATAAAAATTAGTAAATTATAATTAATATAATAAATAATAACTAATATTATTTTTAGAGTCGATAAATTCACTCAGACATAAACTATCGATAAAACAGATTATTTATAGATATTTGACAAAATAGGTTTTACGGTTCGAATCGATAATGTTTTTTTACTAAGTTTTAGTAAACATTTCACAAATTAAAAAAAAATTACCTGACTTTTACTGGAAATTATTGATTGACTTCTGTATATTTATAATTATTTTGATCAATAGAATTTAACTTTATATTTAGAAGACAAAAATCACAATTATTAATCTTGTCTTGATAAATATGTTCACCCGATTATATCGAAACGAGATAGTAATTGAAAAAAAAATTCAAAAAAAACATGTTTTTGTCTATTTTTCAAACTTAATTATCATCATAACAAATTTAAATTTATCTCTTTCAAAGTGCAGTCAAATCTGAAGGGCTTAAAAATGTTTTTTTCCTCCGTTCTTTGACTATATCAAAAAAAAATTATGGATTTTGAATGTGCAAAAGTATTTATAGTATTAAAAAAATTAAATTCTTATTAAAAATATTAAAGGGCAAGTACAAAAATTTGTAAAATATTTCATTTTATTTATTTTATTATATTTATTTATTTATTTTATTTCATTTTATTTATTTTAGCTATTTTATGAATTAATTTATTTTTATAAAAATAAAATTTGTGATATTAAATTAAATAAATAAAATTACTCATTATATTTAAGAATAAATTGAAAAATTTGAAAGTTACTGAAAAAAATATAGAAAGTTATTGAATTTTGAATAATGCGAGAAAGCGGGGGAAAAAGAGGAGAAAACATTATTACCAACCTCATAAGACTCTTATTATCAGTGGGTGTAAGTAGTTTGGATGCAGGTGCAAGTGATAAGGGTGTTGAGGTGAGATTACTATTTTGCAGGTTAGCCAAACTGGTTAATGGCGCCAGCGATGTCAGCGAGGCAGGGGGGGTGTCCTCGCGCTTTCCCGGAAGTGACTTTACCGGCGTGCTTGAAAAATGCTCCAAGCTAGCTCGAACATCCGTTTGCTACAACAGAGAAATAAACTTTTTTTTCAACCTCAATTCAACAGGAAAAATAACATTCAATTCTTCTACTTCTACTAATGAATTTTTACTCTATATAAAAGAACTGGAAAAATTTTCTAATATAACCCAATTATATAATTTTTTTGTATTTTTTAATTTTAAAATACATAGAATTGCAAAAAAAAATTTGTTTTATAATTAGAATTAAATTAAATCTATAAAAGACGATAGTAATTAGTGATGTAAATTTAAAAAAGAATTTTTATCTAAGACGGGTAAGTAAATGACTGTAGGTTCTTAATTTTAACATTATTGTTTTATATCTTAATGTGGTAAACAACTTAATTAATAATTTTATAAATAGTTCTAATATAAAATAGTTAATAACTAAGGCGGTAATTAAAAAATTAATTATCACAAGACAGGAAATTGATATTTAATAATTTATTATTTCCGAATCGGACGGTAAGTTTTAAAGGTTATCAATCAAGAAACAACCATTTATAATTAATTGAAGTAATAATTATAAAATGCATTTCAATAACAATTTCCAAATCGGACGATAAATGAATGACGGTAAATTTTAAGAATTATAAATTAAAAATCAACCGTTAATAATTAGTTATAATAATTATACAATGAATTTTAATAACAATTTCAAAATCTAACGTTCAGTAAATGACGGTAAGTTTTAATATTTATGACATGAAAACAGCCGTCAATAATTAATTATAATAATAATTATAAAATATTTTTAATGATAATTTTAAAATCGGACGGTAAGTAACTGACGGTAATTATTTGAAAAGTTACAATATAAAAAACAACTGTCAGTGAATTACAATAATAATTATGTAAAAAGAGAATTTTTAATAATTATTACAAAATCAGACGGCATGTTTTAATATTTATGAAATAAAAAAACAATAGTTAATGAATTATAATAATAATTATTGAATTATCTTTAATAATTATTTCCAAATCGGACGGTAAGTGGATGACGGTAAGTTTAAATATTTTTGAAATAAAGAACAACCGTTAATTATTAATAATAAGAATTTTAAAATATAACGGTAAGTTTTTATATTTATGAAATATAAAACAACCGTTAATTTATAATTATAATAATGATAATAATTATAAAATAATTTTTATTGATAGTTTCAAAATAGGACAGTATTTATATGACGGTAAGATTTAATAGTTATGAAATAATTAAGAACAACGGTCACTGAATTACAATGATAATTATAATAATACAATTTTTAATAAATATTTCCAAATCGGACGATAAATGAATGACGGTAAGTTTTAAGAATTATAAAATAAAAATCATCCGTTAATAATTAATTACAATAATTATAAAATGAATTTGTATAATAATTTTAAAATATGACGGTAAATGAACGGCGGTAAGTTTTAATATTTATGAAATTAAAGGCAACCGTTAATAATTAATTATATTAAAAAAGAATTTTTTTAATGCCAATTTAAAAATTGGACGGTAAGCGTCTGACGGTAAGTTTTAACAGTTATAAAAAAACTACCGTCAATGAATTACAATAATAATTATAATATGAGATTATTTAATAAATATTTTCAAATCGGACGGTAAGTGAATGACGGTAAGTTTTAATAGTTATAAAATGAAAAACAACTGCTAATGAATTATAACAATATAATTATACATTAATTTTTAATAACAATTTAAAAATTGGACGGTAAGTGAATAACGGTAAGTTTTAATATTTATGAAATAAAAAGCAAGCGTTAAAATTACTTATAATAATAAAATTAATTTTAAAAACAATTTCAAAATCGGACGGTAAGTGAATGACGGTAAGTTTTAATATATTTGTGAAATGGAAAACAACCGTTTATATTTAATTATAATAATTATAAAATGAAATGCAATAACAATTTTAAAATCTGACGGTAAGTGAACGGCGGTAAATTTTAATATTTAATTTTTAATATTTATTAAATTAAAGGCAACCATTAAAAATTAATTATATTTAAAAAAATAATTTTTAATGACAATTTAACAATTGGACGGTAAGTGTCTGACGGTAAGTTTTAATAGTTATAAAAAACTACCGTCAATGAATTACAATAATAATTATAATATGATATTATTTAATAATTATTTCCAGATCAGACGGTAAGTGAATGACGGTAAGTTTTAATATTTATAAAATGAAAAACAACTGTTAATGAATTATAACAATAATTTTAAATTCTTATTTTTAAATATTTATTTCCAAATCGACGGTAAATTAATGTCGGTCAAATTTTATATTTATGAAATAACAACAACCGTTAACAATTAATCATTAATAATAAAAATTATAAAATAATTTTTTATAGCAATTTATAATCGGACGGTAAGTGAATGACAGTTAGTTTTAATATTTATGAAGTAAAAAGCAACGGATAAAATTACTTATAATAATAAAATGAATAATAACAAATTTTAAAATCGGACGGTAAGTGATTGAAGGCAAGTTTTAATATTTATGAAATGAAAAACAACCCTTAAAATTACTCATAATAATAATAATTATTATAAAATTACTTTAAATGACAGTTTCAAAATAAGACGGTAAGTAACTGACGGTAAGTTGTAATAGAATTATATAATATAAGAAACAAAACCGTCAATGAATTACAATATTAATTATAATGTGGGAATTTTTGATATTATTTACAATATCGGACGGTAAGTGGATGACGGTAAATTTCAATTGTTATAAAATGAAAAACGACCGTTAATAAATTATAATAACAATTATAAATTATTTTTTAAAGGTAATTTCATTAAAATTAAGAACTTACCTTCAACAAGAAGGTAAGTGAATGACGGTAAGTAAGTTATTAAGTCAAGCGATAAATTTAAAACAGTAAAAGCGAAACTTTAACGTATTTTCTAAAAATTTTAATAAATTACAGTACTCTTAAGTACTTTAAAGACTAAACGATAAGTGTAATTGATATTTATATCACAAAATTCATTTGTTAAAAAAAATATAAAAAAACAATAATAAATATAATTTTTCGCATTTCACAATTCACTAGACATCCAATAGATTTTTTTGTCAATTTATCAAAAATATTTTTCCCAAAGATTTTAATTCTCGATGAAATATAAAATATATATTTTGTACAGTTGAGTTGAACATGTAACAAGTTGGATTTGCTTATCTAGACGTGGGTTCTCTGAATCGTGTGTGGATGTGTGCGAGGAGGAGGAGGATGAGGAGAGTGCGAGAAAAAAAAACCGAGAATTAGTGTGGCAACGGAAATTTCAAGCTGACACACTCTCTGGGGCGATAGTGACTAATAACGACCAAAACATAAAACTAAAACGCTCGACGATTCGCCTCGTGTGCAGGCCTCTTTTTTGCTTCACGAATTGATAGGTTTATCGCTTTTCATTTTTACACGCGTCGCTCTAGTTTGCTTGTCCTTTCGACTTCCGAAGCGCTCCGAAAGTAATGAATGGAATCACTTGTTTGTGGGTCGCACGTTATATTACGTCCAATATTTAAATCCCCCAACTCTCCTCGGCAGTATTTTTTTTCATATTCCTTTCTCTTGAAAAAATGATTCAACATTTCTTTTTCTTCATTTTTCCCCCCAGAATAAAATTTTATCAATTACTATAAATTTTACTATACAATAGAAATAATATTCTTTCTAAGGAATAATTATTATCGAGAAGAAACGAAAAAAAAAATGTTTCGCAATACTGATTTGAAGAAAACATCAACAAAAGAATCAAAGCGAACGAGCAAAACCAACTTGTTATGCAAACCTATCGATCCTTATCAGCAACGATAAGCTGCAAAGGTGAACGAACGAGTTAAGCCTCAGATGGTGGTTAGTAGATTATTGAAGTAAAATTTCTGTGGTTTCAAGACTCTTTTTGATAATAATAATTAACACTCACTTTTCTACTATACCCTCAACCCTCATCAAAAAAAATTTATTATACGAAACAATTTTTTAATTAATTTCCAAATTTATTATTAAACTAAAATATAAATTCACAATTAAATGTAAAAATTAAATTTAAGAGTAAAACTTGAATCTATCTTCATTATATAATTAAATTTATCAACCCCATTTAATTTAGATTTATCGAAACTAATTAAATTTAAATTATTCGAATCCAATTGTACTTGTATTTATTGAACCGCGTGTAAAATGATATAAAAAAATGATGATATAAAAAAAATTATATAAAAAAATTAAATAAAAAATGATTTAATTAAAACGCAAAAATTTTTTTACTAATATTATTTATTTCTCTAAATTAATTTAAAAAAAATATATTTCGTTAATTTTTAAAATATGTTTCAATATCTATAATGACAATTTTTTAATTTCAATAAAAAATTGAAAAAAGGGTTAAGTTTTGCAAAAAAAGAGTTTTTTAAACGATTATGATGATAATGGTGATTTTACAATATAAAAATTGCGACATGTTAATTAAAATAAATGACCTGATGCTTGTGGGCAGGTTTGTACACCTGTTTATGGAGGACCCGAAGGTTCTTCTTTCTCATTTCAACGCTTCAGGTGGCTAATCACAGTCACTTATCACCGATTGGCTATCGATCACTGGCAATCGATCGTATCGCTCGCGGCAGGTGAATTATTTTTTAGGGAGATCATCGGCGTAGACCGGCGCGCGACATGAATCGATATAAACAACCCGAGAAACCGTTCAACTTTTTTTCTAGCACGTGCTTCTCTCTTCTCGCGTCTTCTTCGTTATATTGGTGTGGGTAAATGAGAAAAGAGAGAAAGCGAAAGACAGAGAGAGAGAGATTAATCAATGGGAGGAGCAAACGCGAAAAGAGACGGAAACGAAACAAGTTATTTTACGAGAAAAACAGGATGAATTTTTGTTTCAGAATACATGTAAATGTAAACATCGATAGAAACGAATAAATTTACATGAGTAAATTAAATCAAAATTGATATATATATATATA